ATAGTTGGAAGGTCTGCAGGTTAAAGAAATCATTATATTCGAAACAATCTCCAAGAGCATAGTTTGGAAGATTCACAAAGTCTATGATAGCCTTTGGCTACCGTCAGAGCAATTCAGACCATACGTTATTTCTGAAGAAACAACTGGGTAAGATTACTGCACTCATTGTATATGTAGATGACATAGTGGTTATAGGGAATGATCTTGAAAAAATGAAGGCTCTCAAGAAGTACTTGTCCAAAGAATTCGAAATGAAAGATCTAGGTCTTTTGAGATATTTTCTTGGGAGTGAAGTATCTCAATCTAATAAAAGAATCTTTCTATCTCAAAGAAAATATGCCTTAGATCTATTACAAGAGACTGGAATGACAGTATATCAACCAGTTGAGACACCAGTGGAAGAATGATTGAAATTATGTGTTGAGTCCAACCAAGTACCTGTTAATAAAGGAAGATACCAAAGACTTGTGGGGAGATTGATCTACTTAGCACACATGAGACCGGATCTGGCTTATGCATTGAGCATTGTTAGCCAGTTTATGCATGATCCTGGAGAGCAACATATGAATGCAGTTATACGCATTTTGAGGTATTTGAAATCTGCTCCTGGAAAAGGAATTTTGTTCACTAAAAATGCCGGTTATCAAAACATAGCTACATATACTGATGCTGACTGGGCTGGAGCTATAGATGATAGGTGATCTACTTCTGGTTAATTTACCTTTGTAGGAGGTAATCTTGTTACATGGAGAAGCAAGAAATAAAATGTTATTGCTCGCTCGAGTGCAGAAGGTGAATTCAGATATATGGCGCTTGCACTTTGTGAAACATTATGGCAAAGACTTCTGTTACGGGATTTGGGTTATCTACCTGGGCAACCTATTCAACTATATTGTGACAATAAAGCAGCATGTGATATTGCCCATAATCCAGTTCAACATGATCGTACGAAGTATGTTGAAATAGATGGATTCTTCATTAAGGAGAAGTTGGATGGGAAAATTGTGGAGTTACCTAAGATTAGATCGGAAGATCAACTAGTCGACATTCTCACCAAAGCAGTCTCAAATCAAGTGTTTTCAAAAAATTTAGACAAGTTGGGCATATGTGACATCTATGCACCAACTTGAGAGGGAGTGTTAAGATTTTATCTCTTATAATACAGCTGTAGGATTGAATTATTTACTCCTTGATTTAGGGCTAATTGGTATGTAATTAGTTACCTATTTTAGCTAATCCTATTCTATAAATTGGATGTAATACTTATCAATGAATGATTAAATATGATTTTAATTCTCGTATTCTTTATCTAAATTTTAGGACTGGCCCTATAGAAGTTAATGGAAATTTAGAAAGTAATAATGAAGTCGCAAGGGTAAGAGTTCTACCGATACAAAAAGGAATTAAATAAAATTTTCAACAATAAGTACAAGGACTTATCTGTGGAGCACTTTGTGTAATGAAGTTGAGAGGAAGAAAATTCTCTCAAGTTGCAACAGGTGATGGATTCTTCGAACACCTTCTTGAATTGCTATTAGGCTTGGAACTATTCCTTTCTTAAGGGCTTTTCATTTGTCTCAGTTGTCTTAACCCTTTGGCAGGGGGTAATTGCTCCGAGTTTTATGAGCTAAACCTTTTAATAAGAAAATAGTTGTTCTCGCCCCTTCAACAAGGGAAGAAAGCTTTTAATTATCTCACCCTTTTATGTGAAAGTAGTCTTCCTCTTGTCCCTTTAATGAGGGAATGGGGAGTAGTTGGCCCTTTTAGTACGACAACGACAATTACTCGGCTCGGACCCTTTTAATATGAGGCTATTTGATTTTAACCCCTTTTAATGCGAGGGATGATAATTACGAGCTTCATTTAGCCCGGGTCATTATAGTAAATGGCACTTTGATTTCGACCCCTTTTAATACAGGGAACGACAATTATGAGCTTCATTCAGCTCGGGCCCTTATAGTACGGGGCACTTTGATTTTAACCCCTTTTAATATGAGGAACGACAGTTACGAGCTTCATTTAGCTCGGGCCATTATAGTACGAACACTTTGATTTTGACCCCTTCTAATACGAGAGACAACAATTACGAGCTTCATTCAACTCGGGCCCTTATAGTACAAGGCCCTTTGATTTTAACCCCTTTTAATACGGGGGACAAAAATTATGAGTTTACTCAGCTCGGGCCCTTATAGTATAGGGCACTTTGATTCAACTCATTTTAATACGGGAGATAACAATTATAAGCTTCATTCAGACGAGGCCTTATAGTATGGGGCACTTTAATTAAGGGGACCCCTTTAATAGCAAGTCCCAAGCTTAGTTAGCTTGGCCCTTTAATATGGAGAGTAGTAGACTCGAGCTCATTTAGCTCGCCCCTTTAATAAAGAGGTTTGTAATAGTTTTAAGATTTACTTTGTTTGCACTTTTAATAAAGGGGTTCCTCGTTGTTTTGAGCTTTACTTAAAAATGCCCTTTTTACAAGGGTTATTTTAAGTTAGAGCTTGACTTAGATCACCCCTTTTAATAACTTCGATATTGCCTTTCTATAACCATAAAAAGTTAACCTTGCAATAATACAAGACTATTTAAATAAAGCAAAATTTCAACATGAAAAGCGTGCCATTATTGGTCCAGAATCTATCCAAGTTATAATTACGAGCTCTTAGGCCTCAAAATATGACTTCAATTAGATTAAGCAATTAAGAGATTTTTGATGCATCATTTCTGCCACCTGTGCGTGTGCCATTCATTATCATTACAGGATGAGTAATCTGAATCAAGCGTCATTTAACTTCAATAAAGCTTTACTCTCTTCCTGCACTTTGAACTCTGTACACTTTTTGTGAACTTCACATTACTTTCATAATGATAATGTTTATCAGGACATTAATACCACTAATACAAGATATTGTTAGTTAATTTTACATTTGTAATTAACTCTTTTTACCATCAAATATTAAAACAAACATACCTTCCAGTAGGTTTGTGAGGATACCAAAACGACCCGGGTTTGGAGTGATCCACATTGCATAGGATGGGTCGGGTGTGGACGAACAGGATGAAGCCAGTTCGCGCCGTATGGGCCCAGGTCCATAAAGCCACTTCGGAAGCCCATGATAAAATGAGAGAAATCGAGTCCAGCCAAAGGAGAACAAGATAGGACCAGCTCAGTGGAGGTTGTAACCGTCTATAAATAGAAGGGATTGAGAGGGAAAAGGAGTTGAAAAATCATTGAGAGTGTAAAGTTTCTCTCTCTACAATTAGGGAAAAATTCTTTGTACTTTCAATTGGCGCCGTCGGTGGGAAGAACAAGAAGGATTGATTAATGTCATTCCAGATCGGATCGATTCAACGCATTCTGCGAGGAAGACGATTAATCTGCGAAAGCTGAATCAACATTGGTGATAATACGATCTGTCTTGACGAGTCTAGGCTCCGGTTGATTTCAGAATTGGCGTCCGATCCAAGCAGATCAGATCCGTGCTTGATCCGGCAAATTGCGCAATTGCGATCTATTGTGATTACTGAATCCGGCCAGTAGCGGACTGAATTCAGCAAGTGTAAGTTCAGATCTGGTGTGCGCGCGTTAGCGGAGCTCTGATTTGGTCAAAAATTCTGCAGTTGATGACTTTGCTCCGATCTGGAATGATGATCGGAGAGGCGAACTCGAATCCTTTGGAGAATGGCCAGAAGACAAAGCTCGATGAGCTGATGAACATGATCGATGCTTTGAGGAAAGAAAATGCAGAGCTACGAGCTGGAATGGAGCATCATGAGGCTCTTGCAATTCCGAGGCCACCTCCTGAAGGAGAGGGAGCTTTACCGTCCGAAGCTGATCGTCAAGGTGATCTAGAAGATGTCAATCGTGGTAGTCTACGTCATAATGAAGATATAATCGGTAATCTGCCTCCGAATGTCGGCCGAGTAGAGGATCGGGAAGGATCTGATCGTCTGGAACCGCATCACAAATGGATTATGAGGGAGGAAGCACCGGCGTATGAACATCGGATTGAGTCACCATGGCGGAGTGAATTTGCGAAAGATAGGTCGTTCGATCCGCCATACCGACCTTCATTAGCGACAGTTGATTACAATAGCTCAGAAAGGAGATCTGGCGATCGAGGATTTCCGTTACGGTTTTCAAGAGAAAACGAAGCATTGCATTCCTCAGCAAGGACGGTCGCATCACCGTTCACTGATGAAATTCTGAACGCGCCAAATCCGAAGAAGTTTTCCATGCCGATCTTGATTCTGTTTGACAGAACAACCGATCCGGTCGATCACATATACCATATTCAGTTAAAAATGGCTTTGAATACTAATAATGATCCTTTGATGTGCAAGTGTTTCCCTACGAGCTTGGCTGGACCAGCTCTCAATTGGTTCAAGAATCTGGCTCAAGGCTCAATCGCCAGTTTCCAGGACTTATGCGATAAGTTCATAAGCCAGTATTATGGGAATAAGCGTCCGGCTAAGGATATATCGAGCTTTTTTACAATGAAGCAGCATGAGGATGAGTGGCTCCAAGCTTTTCTCACCCGGTTCAACCTCGTTAAAAGCATGGTAATGGAGTGTCACCCGTCAACAGCAGTCCAAGCATTTAAACTCGCAATGAACCGGGGGACGCCGTTCCACACCAGCTTGGTGGTTAATACGCCAAAGATAATAGACGAGCTGAACGAGAGAGCTGACGGTTTTGTTCGCCTCGAGGAGGAAGAAGCAGCTAATTCAAGGAAAACGTCAATTATTTGGACGGAGGAGAAGTCCAAAGCCAAGATCCGGCAAAAACAAGCTCAACCGCAACGTCACCCCTTATGGAAGGCAGAGAAGAGGCCCAGGGAGGAGGAATCAGTCACTCCACTCAGAGTCACTTTAGCAAGGCTATACCAGGAGAACAAAGATAAGTTTCGTCCTCCTCTGCCAATCAGGCAACCTCTTGAATAGAGGGATCAGACTAAACATTGTGTTTTCCATAGTGATTTTGGGCATCAGACTAACGAATGCAGGAACCTAAGGAGGCAGGTAGAGATACTGATCGCAAAGGGAGAGTTTGCAAGCTATGTTCATGGTCCGGCGCAAGAGCATAACCGCCCGACTGAACAAATCAAGCGGAACCAGAGGCCGAACCAACACAACTCCTAACCCGTCCAAATTATAAACGCAATTCATAGCCGGCCTGAACAAACGACGGAGTCAGAGGAGTTGCTCAGGACGAGGTTACACCAGGCCCATCTGAAAAGAAGAATTAGCAGTGTGCATGCTTTGCACCAGCAGAACGCATCCACATCGATAAAGTTTGATAAAACGGACCTGCTACGCGTTCAAATTCCTCATGAAGATCCACTAGTCGTCAGTCTAACGATTGCAGAATGCCTGGTTCGGAGAGTCCTGATTGATCCAGGAAGCAGTGCGAATGTCATGCCCAGGGTGACGTTCGACCGACTGGAGATCGAACCCAAAAAACTCAAACCCACAGGGAATCCGTTGCTCGGATTTGATGGGAAGCGAGTGGAACCTATTGGAATAGTGGAATTGACAGTACAAGCCGCTGAGCGGGTTTTGACTGAAAGTTTCATGGTAGTGGAAATTTATCCATCATACAACCTCTTGATGGGCAGAGGATGGATTCACATAATTCAGGGCATTCCGTCAACCTTACATCAAGTGATGCGATGTTTGGGTCCGGATGGGACCAAGGTGATAGATATACACGGGGACCAGGTTGCGGCTAAAGAATGTTATTCAGTAACTTTGAAATCTGCTGAAAAAGGGAAAATCCCATCCGTTCCGCCATTCCAAAATAGCAATTACAGAACCCTTCTCCCAGCAAGGATGGGAGGGAGGAGCCACCAGTTCTGACCACAGAACCCCTTCATGAAGTAAAGATTGATCATGAGAAACTAGACCGAACAACAAGGGTGGGCACCAAACTCACCGAAGAAGAGAGACTAGAGTTGACTAATTTCCTGATTCGGAATGCGGATGTATTCTTATGGAGCCATTCAGATATGCCAGGGATAAATCCTACTGTATCCTGTCATTCCCTCAATGTGGATCCGAACGCAAAGCCAGTGAAGCAGAAGCAGAGAAGATTTGCTCCAAAACAAAACCAGATTATAGCTGAAGAGGTTGATCGACTGCTTGAAGCCAGATTCATCAGAGAAGTTCAGTACCTGACCTGGCTCTCTAACGTTGTTGTAGTGCAGAAGAAGAATGGGAAATGGAGAGTATGCATCGACTTCACTAACCTAAACATAGCCTGCCCAAAGGATAGTTTTCCATTGCCCAGGATTGATCAAATGGTAGATGCCACCACAGGATATGAGCGACTAACTTTCCTGGATGCATATTCCGGTTATAACCAAATTCCTATGGACCCAGTTGATGAAGAGAAAACTTCATTTGTTACTGAACGAGGGACTTATTGCTATAAAGTCATGCCATTCAGATTAAAAAACGCTGGAGCTACTTATCAGAGGCTGATCAGCAAGATTTTTAAAGGCCAGATGGGCAGCACTGTCGAGGCTTACATTGATGATATGGTGGTCAAGAGTAAGAAGAAGAGCGATCATTTAGTGCACCTGCAAGATGTGTTCGATGTGTTGCGCCAGTATGGGATGAAGCTTAATCTGGCCAAATGGTCATTCGGTGTAAGCTCCGGACAATTCCTGGGATATGTGGTCAATCATAGAGGAATTGAGGTCAGCCCAGCACAGGCAGAAGCCTTGATCAGGAATGCAGAGCCAAAGACAATTAAAGAGGTGCAGGCACTCACAGGCAGGATAGCCGCACTGAGCTGATTTATTTCCAAGCTTTCGAACCGTTGTAAACCTTTCTTTGATACAATACGAGGTCATGGAAGACAAACTTGGGGGGATGAGCAACGGCAGGCACTAACCAGCCTGAAGGAGTACATGCGTAACCCTCCAGTTTTGTCTGCTCCAGAACCGAATAAGAAACTTTTTCTATATCTCAGGGTGTCCAGTACAGCAACCAGTGCCGTTCTGATCCGTTGCAAAGAGGGCAAGTAGTTCCCGGTGTTTTATATTAGCAAGACAATGTCTGAACCGGAGAGAAGGTACTCTAGGGCCGAACGAATGATCTTGTCGCTGGTCAACGCAAAAAGAAAGCTTAGACACTATTTTGAATCTTATCCAATCGTCGTTTTAACAACTTTCCCTTTGAGAATGATCTTGCACAAACCGGACCTGTCGGGGAGAATGACCAAGTGGGCCATTGAATTGAGTTCATTTGATATCGCGTACGAGCCCAAGACGGCAATCAAAGGTCAAGCGGTGGCGGATTTCCTACTTGACTGTGATGCTGAAGATACGGTGGAGGATTGTAATTGTTCTTGGTGGAAGCTTTTCGTGGACGGCTCCTCGAATCAAATGGGGGCCGGGATTGGAATTCAATTGCAAACACCAGAAGGAACTATGCTGAGCCAAGTGATAAGACTAGAGTTCAGCGCGACCAACAATGAGGCAGAATACGAGGCGTTGATAGCTGGGCTGAAGTTGGCTAAGGAATTAAAAATCAATAATCTGATGGCTTATAGTGATTCACAACTAGTCATTCGATAAGTCAATGGGGACTATGGGGCCAAGGATAAGACTATGGAAGCATACCGAACTACGGTTCTACGTGAGGTGAAAGCCTTTGATCAGATCAAGTTTATCTAATTACCAGGAGAGTATAACGAAGATGCCGATCGCTTGGCTTGTAGTGCATCCAGTTCTGGAGATATTTTAGCTAGGGTCATCCCGGTCGACATACTGATCCAACCTTCCATTTTTGAAGAACTGCCTGATCCGAGCACTCAACATGTTAATGTTATACCATATGAGCCGAGCTGGATTGATCCAATCATGGCTTACATACGTAGTGGTACACTCCCCGAGCATAAGGACGAGGCAAGAAGAATTAGGTCCAGCGCAGCAAAGTATGCCATTGTGCACGATCAGTTATATAGACGCTCCTTCTCGGGTCCATATTTGAAGTGTGCTACCCCTACAGAAGCTAGACAGATTGTGCGAACCATTCATGAGGGAGTATGAGGAAATCACTCTGGAGGAAGATCTTTAGCACACAAAGCAATGACACAGGGGTACTTCTGGCCAAATATGGCACGAGATGCAGAAGAATTCTCTAGAAGATGCGATAAAAGCCAGAGGTTCGGGTCATTGATACATCAACCACCTGAAGACCTGCACGTAATGGCCAACCCATGGCCTTTCGCGCAGTGGGGGATGGACGTGGTTGGCCCTTTGCCGACTGCAAGATCGCAGAATAAGTACGTTCTGATAGCTACTGATTACTTCACCAAATGGGTAGAAGCAGAGCCGTACCCTAGTGTCACCCAAACTCAAGTAAGACGCTTCATCTGGAATAATATTATCTGTCGTTTTGGCATACCAAGGTCAATCGTGATGGACAATGGAACCAACCTCGATAGCAAGCAAGTGAGAGAGCTGCTGGAGGAATATAGAATCAATCAGAAGTTAGCAGCAGTCAATCATCCTCAGGCTAATGGTCAAGCCGAAATCATAAACAGGACAAAATTTGCTTGTATAAAAAAAAAAGCTGGAGAATGAAAAAGGCAAATGGTTGGATGAGCTACCGAACGTCTTGTGGGCTTACAGAACAACCCCAAGACGGCCAACTGGAGAGAGCCCATTCGCTATGGCCTACGGCACCGAGGCGGTGATACCAGTCGAGCATTTGGTTCCAACTATAAGGAGCTTGGCGTGGGATCAAGAGCAGAATGATAGAATGCTGAGGTTCGATCTTGATTTGTTGGAAGAAAAAAGGGATGCGGCTGCAGTGAGGCTCGCCTCTTATCAACAGACGCTAGTGAATAGCCATAACAAGAAGGTGAGGCACAGGGGTTTCGCTCCTGGCAATCTGATTCTGAAAAGGAAGGTGGGAATAGTCAAAAAGATGTTCTCCCCATGGTAAGGTCCGTACAGAATAGCAGAAGTCATAGGGAAGGGGGCATACATCCTATAAACTATGACAGGAAGGGTAGTCAATAAGCCATGGAATGCTATGTCTCTGAAAAGGTACTACCAGTAAAAGTAGAGTTTAATTTCAAACATATTGTACGTTCTAAATTGCATGCTTGCAAGTGTACAAAATTTCCATGCTTTATAAAAAGCCTCTTCTTTGTTAAAAATCTACACTCTTCCCATTCAGCAAGTTAGTGGCAGCTGGCACTTAAAGCCGAACGCCAAACACTTGTCAAAAAATGAAAAAGCCAAGTGGCAAGAGGCGTTCAGGCTAAGCGCCAGGCATTCAGCAAGTTAGTGGCAGCTGGCACTTAAAGCCGAACGCCAAACACTTGCTCGAAAAATGAAAAAGCCAAGTGGCAAGAGGCGTTCAGGCCGAGCACCAGGCATTCAGCAAGTTAGTGACAGCTGGCACTTAAAGCCGAACGCCAAACACTTGCTCGAAAAATTAAAAAGCCAAGTGGCAAGAGGCGTTCAGGCCGAGCGCCAGGCTTTCAGCAAGTTAGTGGCAGCTGGCACTTAAAGCCGAACGCCAAACACTTGCTCGAAAAATGAAAAAGCCAAGTGGCAAGAGACGTTTAGGCCGAGTGCCAGGCATTCAGCAAGTTAGAGGCAGTTGGCACTTAAAGCCGAACGCCAAACACTTGCTCGAAAAATGAAAAAGCCAAGTGGCAAGAGGCGTTCAGGCCGAGCGCCAGGCATTCAGCAAGTTAGTGGCAGCTGGCACTTAAAGCCGAACGCCAAACACTTGCTCAGAAATGAGTAAGAAAAGAACAGAATGGTGACATGGCCGAACGTTAAACACTTGTAAAAAAAAAAAAAAAAAAAAAAAAAAGCTGAAAATAGAAAACTCAATGGAGGAAAGTGATGCTGAGCAAAAACATTATAATTTATAGCCAAAAAGGCCCCAAGGTACATAGTACCATACATGCAGATTTAAAAAATAAAAAATAAAAAAAAATAATAATAACTGCTATTGGGACTCAATTCTGATCTTCTCCAGACTGTAGCTTGTCGTTCTCGCCACCATCTTCCTCTGGACCATCGAGATCTCCATCTGCCCTATCATCCTTAGAAGGGGAGTCGAGATGAATCACCCCCTTAACAGGCATAGGTCTTTCGGCAACGACAGAGGAAGAGGGCACGATGGTAGAAAGGGGAAGAATGTTCAGAGGATGAAAGGGTGGGACAATTCCTAAAGATGTGACCTCTATGCATTCAATAAAAATGTTCTCGGCTGGGTCGCATGGTGGATTTTGATAGTTGTTTGGGGGGTGGATGTCCAGGGAAGCGTCTAGTTCATCAGGACCAGCACAAGAGCTTGATTCACCTTTAGGAGGAGAACGGTCAACAAAACCATCTCTGTACCCTTCAGTATACCGGATGGCACTGGTCCTGGTAAAGCGAGCAAGGAGAGCCCTCATCTCCCCTTCAACTCTGCTGATCATGTTCATCAGGGAAGACCGTTCGTTCAGAAGTTTTTCTTGGGAATTTGCATACGATAACCGTTCAGCAATGAATGAGCGCTGAAGGTCTCCCTTTTCGGCTTTGAGAGAGTCCCTTTCTGTCAGAGCTACACTCTTCTCAGTTTTTAAGACGTCAACCTCATCATGAAGAGAATCTCGTTCGGTCTTCAGGGAATCCCGTTCAGCTCTGAGGGAATCCCTCTCGTTTGCCAGACCGTCTTTCTCTGCCTTTAGGTCAGCAACTTCCTTCTCTGAGTCCCTAAGCTTTGACTCCAGCTCAGCAACTCTAGCCTCAAGAAGAGTCTCTGCTTCAACAGACCTTTTAAGGCCCACAGAGAGAGACTTAAGTTTTTTATTCAGAGTTTCAATTGTTTTCTGGAAGGTG